TGCCTGTAATCCTAGCACTTGGGAGGCCTCAGCAGGAGGATTACAAGTGTGAACCCAGCCCAGCTTGCACATCAAGACCCTGTCTTAAAACAATAACAAGGGGCTGGAGAGATGGCTCAGCAGTTAAGAGCACTGGCTGCTCTTGCAGAGGACCCAGGTTCCATTCCCAGCACCCACATGGTGGCTAACAACTGTCCATAACTCTAGCTCCAGGGGATCCAGTGCCCTCTTCTGACTTCCATGGACATTGCACAACACAGGTGCGCTTACATACATGCAGTCAATATACTCATAGACATAAAATAAAAATAATAAATAAAATGTAAAAATAACAACAAAACCAGACAAAACCCAAGAGTTGGGGCTGTAGCTCAGTTGGTAGAGTACTGGTTTAGCATGTACAAAGCTATGAGCTTGATCCCAGTACCAAAGAACAGGGCATGATGGCACATGTTTGTGTGCCCAGTGATCAAGAGGTAGAGTAGAAGGATCAGATGGTCAAGCCTGGACTACGTGAGACCATGTCTGAAAACAAAACAAAAAATTAAGGACCTCAGGGTACCAAGTTACAGCACTGAATGTGACCATTTTCCAGTGATGGGAAGAGGAAGGATGGAGGAAACCTGGAGCCTGACCATGATTCTGAACCATAAGGTTAGAGTTCTAAAACACCACTGTGATGAGCCAAGAGTGCCTTAGAAGCAGAGCATCTTTCTAATCAATGTGCATTAGACTGAGAGCAGAAACGTCAGTGTCCACAATTGAAAGTTTGGAGCAACGATGAAATTGTGTTCTCTTATATTGTCAGTAGGCCTGGGGAGATTTTTTCAATTTAAAATGACTTCAAATCCTTTCTCTAGATCTGAAAACGTGTGTGTGTGTGTGTGTGTGTGTGGTGGGACAGTGTTCTGATACCTCTGCCCACCTCCCTCTAGTACTGGCTTTGCTGACTTTGTTCCTCAGCCCTGGATAGCTCAACAGACCCACTCTTCCATGGACCACCCTATCACTGAACGTCTTCCTTCCTTCCTTCCTTCCTTCCTTCCTTCCTTCCTTCCTTCCTTCCTTCCTCCCTCCCTCCCTCCCTCCCTCCCTCCCCTTTGCCTTGTCCTTTCTATCTCCACATCTCTCTTCGAGGGTCTTATGTAGCCCAGGCTAGCTTTGAACTCACAATATAGCCAAAAATGACCTTGAACTTCTGATCCTCCTGTCTCAGCCTCCCGAGTGCTACTACGTCTGGACTGTTGAGCTGGGGATCAGGCCCAGGGCTTCGTGTGTGCAAGGCAAGCCATTATGATGTGCCAGCCATCACTGGTGTTTTGCAAAGCAGCTCCTCCCAGTCTTGCTAGTTTCTGTAAGGACTCAGCAGAAGCACTCTTTGAGTTACTAAGCACTGCCATCAGCCCTTCCTGGCTGATTCTGATCAAATGTTCCCAGGATTACTAAACAACACCAAAATCCAAGTGTTCTCTGCCATCTGAACACGGACGGGAACAAAGCAATGTGTTTCAATGCTCTTTGTCTTTTATCCCCAATTAAACAACCAAAGTAGAGAGACCAGGATAAACCAACCTGGCCTATTTTTACTCATAACTCTTCTGATATCTATTATGTGAGTTTTTTTCCCCTCACCAGCAATTGGGTCTCCAATTCTCCAGATATCAGCTGGTCATCCTACAGTCCAATCCAATTCTGATGCTACCTGCCGTTAGTTTCAGAGGCCACAGGTTGAGAGGCTCAGTCTCATAAGATCCAAGAAAGTACTGTGTGTGTGTTGGGGGTGGGGGTGTCAGTGAGCTGTCACAGTGGGTAAAAGTGCCTTCTGCTGAGCCTGATGACCTGAGTTCCATCCCTTGACCTCACATGGTGGAAGGAGAGAAGTGACTCCCACAAGTTCTTCTCTGACCTCCACATGAGTGTCCACACACATACACACAAAATACATAATGCTCTAAAAAAGAAAAGATAGTATTGGATATCTAGCCTACCTGTACTTCCGTCCTACTTGGCTGTAAAATCAGGGGATCCTACACTCCCTACCTTCCTGCCTTCAGTTCCATGTTTGATAACTTGCTAGAAAAACTCACAGAACTGGAGATGGCCCTTTTACTTACTATTATAACATTTTATTGTGTCAGGAGTGGCCACAGGGAGATGTACAGGGCAAGCTAGATATGTGTGTGGCAGGGGGCTGAGGGGGAGGACTTTTCTGCTTCTCAGAGAAGCATCCTGAATCCTATCCGTAGGCATTTAAACAGAAGCTTCCTTGCACTGGCATGGTTGATTAAATCATTCACCCTGGGTGATCAACTTTCCAGACCCTTTCCTCTCTCCACGGGTCAGGGGTTTGGCCTGAGGGTACCAAACCTCTAGTCATCCTTGGTCTTTGTCTCAGGAGAGAGAGACTTGGAGACTGAGCTCCAAGTCATCTCGTGAGCACAGAAAGAACACTCCTGACACTGAAGGGTCCAAGGATTTCAAAACCCTAGGCTGAGAGCGGGGATTAAAGACTAAATACTGTAAATATGTTGTACAGTGTCCCAGTCAGCTGTGTATCCCTATGAACTCACAAGTTCACTGGGGCAAAGGTGCCAACTGGAAGGAATAGTGTAGCCCAGAGGACATTTGCTTTGCCTTCACCATGGCAACCACAGTGTGTGTGTCTGTGTGTCTGTGTGTCTATATGTGTATTTTCTATACCATGATGCACATGTGGAGGACAGAGGACAGCTTGTGGGAGTTGGTTCTCTCCTACCACCATGTAGGTTCTGGAGATGGAACTCAGGTCATTAGGCCCAGCAGCAGATGCCTTTACCTATGGAGTCATCTTGCTGACCCTTGACATACTCTTTATCTGGATCATTTGGCCTTAGATGAAGTTGCTTTCTGTGACAACCAAGTTCATGAGGCTAAGCCCACACCCACTTAATATCATAATCATAGCAGGGAAGAGGTCAGGGGAAGCTGACGACCACTCACAGCACTGAATCTGGGTCTCTTCCCATGAGCCTCGTTCACCATTCCTCTGAGATAAGAATACTAAATAGTGGTCCGGGGGCTCATCATGTGGATCTCAGACCAGGCCCACTTTGCTATGTCTTGTTGTCAGCAGCCCTTTTCCCTAGCCAAGTTGTAACAGAACACAATGGATTAAAGTCAAATAAGCACAACCAAAATGTAAGCGTGGAAAAGAAATAGGGTGATTGGATTCAAGGAACCTGTATTTATTCATTTAGGGAAGCACTTTGTGATAGGCACATTCCTGAGCATGCTCACTACTGTCCAGTGGGAAAGATCAGGGACACATTTTTAGTGGTGCTAGCTTAAGTTCGAGAGCAGACATTTCAAAGATGACACTGACAGAAAGGACTACTTCTGGGCATACTCACTTTGTAGCACAGGATGGACAACAGCACTTCTCAGCAAACTCAGCTCACATCATAAAGTTCTAGATGAAAAACAGGGTATTTTGAAGGTATATTTGTATAGGAGTTTGTCTCTAAAGGTGCCTGTCTCAGACAGCTACTAACAAACTCCCCATCTGAGACATTTCACTCCTTATTCTTGAGGGGTTTAGGGATGGAGGTCGTTATCAATGGAGGGAGGAGGCCTTGTTTCTTCCTAGTAAGTGGAATATAACTCATTTCTTAAAAGTAACATTTATGTATTTGTGTGTGTATATATGAATATGTGTGAGTGCATGCCTTGGCACACATGGAGGACAGAAACCAGCTTGTGGGAGTTGGTGCTCTCCTTCCACAAGGGATCAAACTCAAGTTTTTAGATTGGCAGCCTTTACCCTTGGAGCCATCTCCCCAGCCCATTACTATGTTACTCTCTTGATAGATGGGCTTTTGTTTGTTTGTTTGCTTGCTTTTTTGAGACAGAGTCTCCCTGTAACCTCAGCTGGCCTGGAGCTCACTGGCCTCAATCAAGTTAGATCTTCTTAACATCACCAGGGACACTCTAACACCATAATTTATGTTTCTTTTATAATTGTTTTAAGGCAGATAATAAAAAAGATAAAATTAGTTACACTATATCAGTAATTTAAGTAGCCCAAGAAATACACATTTGATGTCCTGGGGAATCCTGGTCAAAACTCAGTTAAGCAGGGCTGGAGAGATGGCTCAGCAGTTAAGAGCACTGACTGTTCTTGCAGAAGACCCGGGTTCGGTTCCCAGCACCCACATGGCAGCTGACTATGGTCTCTAACTCCAGTTCCAGGGGATTTGAATCCCTCTGAGGGCATTACACGACATGGGTACACTTCCATATGTGCAGGCAATACACTCATACACATAAATAAAAAATTAAATAAATAAAATTTTAAAGCATTTTTAAAATGGAACAAGAAGACCAGGATACCTGCTGTTATTGTAGCTTATAACATAGTTTCACTGAATGTGAATTTATGCTTCTGTGTAAGACACAAAAGAACATAGGCATTCAGAAGACTGAAGCTGTATAAATAGACCATTGGAGTCTTTTACTGTGTGTCTCTACTTATTATTTGACCCTTTCCAGCTTTAGCATGAGCCTTGGCCTTGGTTCACAGGAGTTGGCATTTATAAGCTTACTTGAAATCCTGCTCCCTCTTTTATATGGTTTAACGAATTTGGGGTGTCACAGCTCACACAAAAAGGGGAGTAACTAGTTAGTAAGATTAAATAAGGGCCTGTCCAAATTGGGTGAGGCTGGTCCTAAGGGGACTCTGACTTCCAAGTACGTGTGTGTGTGTCTGTGTCTGTGTGTGTCTGTGTGTGTGTGTCTGTGTGTGTGTGTGTGTCTGTGTCTGTGTGTGTCTGTGTGTGTGTGTCTGTGTGTGTGTGTGTGTCTGTGTCTGTGTGTGTCTGTGTGTGTGTGTCTGTGTGTGTGTGTGTGTCTGTGTCTGTGTGTGTCTGTGTGTGTGTGTCTGTGTGTGTGTGTGTGTCTGTGTCTGTGTGTGTCTGTGTGTGTGTGTCTGTGTGTGTGTGTGTGTCTGTGTCTGTGTGTGTCTGTGTGTGTGTGTCTGTGTGTGTGTGTGTATAGTGTATGTCTGTGTAGGTGCACGTGTGTAGATGCATGCTGAGGCCAGAAGAAGATATCCCGTGTCTGTCTCTTTCACTCACTAACTTGTTCCCTTGAGACAGACTCTTTCACTGAATCTGGAGCTACTCAGCAAGTGCCAGTGATCCTCCTGTCTCTGTCCCCAACAACACTGTGGTTACAGGTGCCATATTTGGTTTTATGTATGGGGACTGGGGATTGGAGCGCGAGTTCTCATTCTTGCACAGCAAATACTTTAACCAATGAACCGTCTCTTTCTAGCCCCCAGGTTTTAAAGCATACTTTATCCTCTGGTTCATGGGGTTGAACTCTTATCCCTGGAGTAGAAGGAAGTTTATACGTTTCATACCCATAAAGGGTCAGGATCATGTGCCCTAAGTTGATTATGTTTTATTGCTAGTCCAATTTCCATATCAGCATGTACTTTAGAACTAGTTCCCAAAGAAAGGACAGTCCATATAGTGTTTTAAAGAGTCTGAGCTTGAGTTTCCCTTTGGGGGCAGCTCTAATGCAGATCAGACCCAGAGGCTGATGATCCTCTTTTCATGATCCTCTTGACACAGTTTGGACACAGCAACTTTAAGTGTACAGTTGGCCTTTTCAGTTCTGCTGAGTGGTTAGGTCTCCATGCCGTTTCCACTGCACTCCTGGCATCTGGGAGATCCAACCCACATCTGAAATGAAATTGAGCCTATTGTTATTTAAAGTCCATTTATAACTCCTCCTGCTTTTTCTGTTCTTCTGTCTACCCTGTATAAAAATATCCACAAGGGCTGGGGAGAGAGCTCACTTGGTAGAGTGTTTGCACAAGGCTCTGGTGTGGATCCCCCCACACATGGTGGGGCACACCTATAACCCCAACACTATAGAGGCAAGAAGATCAGAAGTTCAAGATCATCCTTGGTCTCAAAGGGAGTTTAAGGGTAGCCTAGGCTAGAGATCCTCTAAAAAAAAAATCCACAAAAGCTAAGAGATATTAACTTGGCATTGACTACCACTTGTTAGTTCCCACCAGGCAGCAGGTCCTTTCCAGAGGGGGTACAGATGGCCTCACTCATGTTGTTGTGACAGTGTGGTCCTCTTTAGATCTGGTCTTTATGACTCCAAGAAGCTAGCTATATGTGCTGTCTATATAATAAGCTGAACTGTAGACATGTTTAAAATTGCCCAAGCCAAACCTTTCTTGTTTGTCTATCATCTCCGTTTTTTGCTTCCACTGTATCTTCCCCTGAGTAGGATAGAACAAATTTACAGAAGGTCAAGTATGGGATCAAAGACAGCTGCAGAATTTCTCCAGACCAAGCTGCATGTTTAGTAGCAATATCAACTCTATGGTCTATTCTTATTATTTTTTTAAAATTCTTTTTTATTCTTGAGAATTTCATACAGGTGGGCAATGAAACATGATCATATATACCCCCATTATCTCTTTGACCTTTCCCTATATCCCCCCACATCCTCCTCCCAACTTCATGTCCTTCTCTCTTTTATTTTGATAATGTACTAAGTCCAGTTAGTGCTGCCCATCTGGGCATTGGTGTGGGGCTATCACTGGAGTGTGGTGAACCTACCAGGGGTCACATCCTCCACAAAAGAACGATCCTCCTGTCAGCAACAATCAAGCCCTAATAGCTCATCAGTAAGGAGGGAGGCATGCAGACAATCCACCCCATCCATGCTGGAATTTTGGTTGGCTTGACCTTGTGCATGCTCTGGTAACCACAGCTGCTGTGAGTTATGATTGCACAGCCACATCATGTTGAGAAGACAGCATTTCACAGCACTCATCGTCATCCTCCAGCTCTTAAGTTCTTTCCCCCCACTCTTCCTAGATGTTCCCTGAGACATGGTGCATGGGGCTGTCTCATTATTTCTGAGCCCCCCCCCCCGTGATACCCCTGCAATGCCCACCTGCTACCCTTAGGCCATTAGAGCCTGAAGCATTCTAAGGACTTCCTTTCCTTATTTAATTTCTTTGATGTGGCATTAGGAAAACCTGCCTCTTCCCAGATTGTACCATGAGCAAGGGATCCCTTAGAAGATGTATATAAACGTGCGTATACAGTTAATGCCCTCTCCTTTCTTAATTCTAGTCCAAAGTCAACTCTATTATCTCAGCAGTGGGAGCTGAAGTTCTAGTAGACCAATGTAGTAGTAGACCACCATTCACCATTAACTATAGAATTGCTCCTATCAACAAACCATAAAGGGCCTTTTAGCTTGAGTCTGTTTGTACTATTAGTTCTGAGTAGTCATGTACTAGAAACTATGTCATCTAATGCATAAATGCAATAGAATGATTGGGTTAAGTGTCTGGCAGTGTTTTAGAGTCAGATGGCATCAAGCAACTGGCCCAAGTATTGTAACATTTGGCTGCTAGTTAGTCAATGGTGGTCATTTTACTCTAGAAGATTGGTGACCTGATGTGGGGTCCAGATTGTCAGTGGCTGTTCCATAGCATGAGGGACCCATTTCTAAGAAGGGAATGAGGCAGTCAGGAGTACATACAAGTAAGTGATTTAGGGACTGGGGACGTAACTCAGTTGGTAGAGTCTTTGCCTAGCAGGAATGAAGTCCTGGCTTCAGTTCCCAGCTCTGCATGAACTGAGCATGGTAGTGCGTTGCCTGTATTCCCATCACTCAGGAGGTAGATGCAGGAAGATCAGAAGTTCAAGATTATACTGAGCTATATAGCAAGTTTGAGGCCAACCTGAGCTGATATTGGGGGGGGCATTTAAAAATCTTTGAACTTACAACACAGGCCATTTTATTTCTGCTTTTCCTGACACCTCTCATGTTATAGCCTTCCTTAGACACAGTGTCCTTTTTATTAGTCATGAGTATGTGAGTCTACTACATGGTGAGTTCCAGGACAGCTGGGGCTACAGGGAGACCCTGTCTCAACAAAACAAAACACAAAACAAGAGCACATGGGTCTAATATTTAGTAAAATTCACTCTTTCTCCCTAGTTATGACTAAGGTAACCCAGGACTCTTTATAAGAAATCTAAATTGTACTAAAGGGAGCTGAACAAGACGTCCTTTAGCCCCATTAATTCTCATCTTCTACAAGAGGGAACTGAGAGGAGTCAGGCTAGTCGTCTGCCTTCCCTCCCCGAGAAGGTTTTGGGCATTCCATCTTCAAATGTTCCTCCTTTTTGTGGAATGAGCACTGATTTGACCTTAGCTTGGCTGGTGGCTGATGGGCCTGATGCTGGGAGCAGGGGTCATTTCCCCAAGATAGACCTTTCCTTCTTTCTGGCAACTTGTTTTCTCACCCCACCCCAGACTTTAGTTCCCACATGTGCAGATCCACACCCACACAAATGTACATATACCCCCTACATGCATGCAAAAATGTTAAGAAGGAAATGGAAGAGTGGAGAAAGATTTATTACCTGCAACAGATAAGGAGAGTGTGGAAGTTATTTCCAAAGCAGAATCCTGTTGGACAAAGGAATCACGAAGATTTGGGTCTGAGGATCTGGCCATCCTCCCGCCTCAAATTCCCGAGCATTGGGACTGAGGAGTCTATACATATTCATACCAGAAAGTACATGACTGAGCATGCTCAGCTTAAGGTCACAATTCAAGAAAGAAAGATTGTGAACATATTTGGGGGCATGCTTAACTGGAAGTAATGAGGCAGATATTCAGAAGTTTACAATGGCAGGCAGCAACACTTTGAGACATAAAGGTGGGGGTGGGGTAGACTACTCACAAGAATTAACTCCTTCTCAGGTGGAGTGACTCACTTTGTTGCCCAGGCTGGTCTTGAACTCTTGGGACTCAAGTGATCCCTCAGGCGTCTGTGTGCTTTAAATACCAATTCAGAATTAACTCTTTTCTCTTTTTTCTTTTCTTTTTAAATTTTATTTATATGGGTATATTGCCTGCATTGTAGGTTGGTGCACCCTAGTCGTGCAGTCAGAAGAGGGCATCACATCCCCCCCGAACTGGAGTTATGGTTGGTTGTTAGCCACCAAGAGGGCGCTAGGAATCGAAACGGGTCCTCTGCAAGTGTAGCCAGTGCGCTTAGCCGCTGAGCCACCTCTTCAGCCCCCCTCCTTTCTTTTTTAAGACAAGCTTTGCCTGTGTAACCCAGGATGATCCAGACCTGGCTGTCGTCCTGCCTCAGCCATTCAAGTGCTGGAATTAAGTCCTGGCCTGCTGACACCACACCTTGCTCAGATGGTTAAAGTCTTAATCGACCAGAAGAGCCTGCTTTTCGACACTGGGGTCTACCACGTATTAAGGTATTTGCTTTGGTGCTGGCTTTTATACAGGGCAAATGTAATAAATAAGGGTTCCCTCCTCCCTCTTCTGGGTCCCCAAAATGACACTTTTTCTTTTGATAGATTTATCAAGTTGTGGGTGAGGGGCCATTTCAGACTCTGGAGAAATAAGCACTGAGCAAAAGGGAAAAACCATTTCCCCGGGTGGACCTTAAGGCTAAATGAACACTTAATTAGGTGTGCAGGGAGCGGTATGTGCTGGGGACAGGACTTGGAGCAGGAAGGATGCTAAACTGGGGTAGGGAAGGCTGCTAAACGTGGATTTTCCAAGGTTGCTCCGATCAGCCTTCATTTCCCTTCAGTACAAGTCAAACAGCCAACAGAAGGCGCCCCGCGTCCCCCAACTACAGCATGGAAAAAAAGGAATTTCAATTCGGTCCCTTCCCTGGTAGATGGTCCCACACTGCCCGGAGGAGCTGATGACTGGGCTGATTTTCGTTCCCGCCCAGGTGTTTTACCCAGTTCTGCGGCACCTGTAATGGCAGGCTGCACCCCGGGGCTCCTCAATTTCTGCCTCTAGGGGCTTTGGGGACAGGGCGAGTCCAGGTCGCCCACCCCAGCCCCGGGCCGCAGCCCGCAGGCGCCCGGAGCGCACCGGTGACGCGACTCCCGCGCTTCCTGCTCTGCGGCGGGGCCTCCTCCGCGCAGTGACGTGCCGGGCTGTGACCAAATATGTCCCTTTCCCCTCCCTCGCCGGCCCCACCGCCCGCAAGGAGCCCCGGGCTGCGGGGCTGCGGCTTGGACGTCCTGGCGGCACGTCGCGGGCCAGCCCCGCGGGGAGCGTCCCTGCGCGATGCCCTTCCGGAAAGGTAGGGACCCCGGTCATCTGCGCTCCGAGCGGTCCGGGGACCTGCGCGGCGTCCGGCCAGCGCGGGCTCGGGTCCCCGCCAGGTGTGGAAGCTCCGGCTGCCCGGGCCGCGCAGACCCGGTGTCGCACTGTCCCCTCGGGGGTCCGGTGGGGCCCCCTCCGGCCCCGCACTGCGCATCCCACAGCGCGTTATCCTCTTCCTTCCCGCACCACGTGGATGCGGGGACCGGGGCTGGGCTCGGGAGGCGGAGGACGCCGGACTGGAGTCCGGGGAACCGCAGTGAACCCGGGAATCCCGCTGCATTCCAGCCCCGGGATGCAGATAGAACGGCAGCCGGGAATTTAGTTCTCGCTGGGGACTTGGCCGTTCTGATAGCCGGAGCTCTGCAGCCCTGAGCGGCTCGCGGAGGGAGGAAGCCGCCTGGAGTACAACGCAGACCTGATGCCCGTCCTGCCTAACCGGCGGGGGGAAGTCATTTTTACCTCGCAGTTTCAGTTTCTACCCTGCCAAAACGGGCACAGGAAGAGGGACGACTGTGGGAGGATTGGCAGACCGCTACAAAGAGGCAAACCAGTGCCCCACTGAGGTCGGCCTGGCAGCTACACGCAGTGCCCATCTAGCCTCTGCAGACGCTGCCCGCGGCCACAGCTCCTGATGTCTGAGCTCTTGGCTTTCTGCCTTGCGCCTGGCTTGAGACTGCAGGAAAGGCAGGGAGATTCCCAGGGCTCCCTGCGGGGGTCGCCAGAGTATGTGGTCCCATTTTACCAGCAAGGCTTGCAAGGAGGGGAGGCCAAATGACTCCCCTTGCCACTGTTTAGAGCTGGGCTGGACTCCTCACCACCCTGAGGTCTGAGTCCTGGAATAGAACGGGAGCTGCAGTGAATGTGGGCAACTGCTCTACATTCAAACCAGGACTGTCTGAGCCCCGTAATTACTGCTTTGTGGAGAGAACTTGTGCCTGGCTTGGTGGCACACACACCTGTAATCCCAGCACTTGGGGGATGGAGTCAGGAGAAGCAAGTGGGAGGTTAGCCTGAGCTACAAGAGACCCTGTCTCAAACGTGCACGCACACACGTACACACACACACACACACACACACACACACACACACACACCACACCCCTAAAGCTCTCCCACCCTGAATGGGTATTTGTGGGTAGTAAAGAAAAGGAAGCCTGGCCTCCCAAGTCCCCGGACTGTGCTATCTCTCTGCCCTCTCCACCCACCTTTCTTGCCAAGCTTCTCTTTCATAATTTCTGTAAATGGGCATGTTACTTCTATGGTTGCTGGGAGGCCTAGTGACCTTTGTCCCTCATAAGCACAGAGTGCTAAGGTACCATCCCATCCCCAGCTGCGAAAGGGCTGGTTAACCACTCCCATGCAGCTGGAGACAAGGAGATAGGAAAGGATGCTGGTAAAAGAGGAAGGATAACAAGTTCTGTCTTATCCTTGGTCAGCTGGTGATGGCTAGGCCCACAGTCCATCTTCTGCTCCTCTGTCATTCTGTGTGTAATGTGGCCACCTTGCCCCTTAGACTGTCTTGAGGGTGTCAGAGTCCTCACTTGCCTCATTAACTGCATTGTGAAGTCATCTCTCTTGCTTTTACGACCTTGTGGCCTCTGGTTGGCAAACTGAAAGAAGGCAAAGATGTCTGTTTAGTTGTCACAGTGCACAGGGGATGGCCTTATGAGCAAGGCATAAAGTAACTAGGCTGCTCAATTATTGTTGACATGAGATTTTGCTTTATAGCCTGCTGTGGTGGCCCATGGCGATTAGCCCAGCACTTGGGAGGTGGGTACAGGAGGATCACAAGTTCAAGGCCATCCTCAGCTATGTAAGCAACATTGAGGCCAGCCCCAGGTTACATAAGACTGCTTTTTTTGAGATAGGGTCACCTGTAACTCAGGCTGGCCTTATACCGGATACATAATCAAAGTTGGCTTTGAGCTCCTCCTAATCCTCCTGCCTCCGCTTCCCAAGTGCTGGTATTACAGACTTGTACCACACCCAGCTAGCAGCTTTTTATTTTAATTATTATTTTTTTGCTTTATGACAGACTATCTTAGTATATTATTAGATTACAAAGGGCAAACTATTTGTCAACTGCCACCCAAGTTAGGCTCTGCTTTTGATAGTTGTTTTAATCTGAAGAGGCATTGCTGCACAGTGAAGAAAGTATCACATTCCTGCACGGTGGCTACTTTCTGAAGGTCCTCGAGTAAGAAACAGCGCTTGCTTGGGGCCAGTGCTGTCCGGATTTTCCAGAAGCTTTGATCTGGACTCTGGTGGGCTTTGATTCTGAGGCAGAGCTTCTTTGCATATTGAGGTATGAGCTTTTTATTATTTTTATTTTATGTATATGAGTGTATTGCCTGTATGTAGGTAGGTGCACCATGTCATGCAATGCCCTCGGAGGTCAGATGAGGGCATTGAATCCCCTGGAACTGGAGGCTTCTTCAGGGGGTCAGATGGAGGAGGCTTTCTCAGTGGGCCAGAGGCCCAGAAGGGGTTGCTCTAATCCTATCCTTTGCTGTGTTTCCATGTTTTACATTTTTTACTAATTGTAATTGTGTATATTTACATGTGATTTGTATGTGCATAAATGTAGGCAGACTTGTGTGTGGAAGTCAGAGGGCAACTTTTGGGAGTCCCTTGTGGGTCCAGGGATTGGCCTCAGGTCTTCAGGTTCGTGTGGAAAACACCTTTACCTGCTGAGCCATCTCACTGGCCCCATTTCTATGTCTTGATATGGGACCAGCACTGTCAGAGACCTGGAGGAAACCTATATTAGGCAAGTTGAGAAGAGTTCAGTAAAGGGCCTGTTTCAAAAGTTTGATAAATGAAAAGCTCATTGGTTAGTGCAGAATGCTGTGCACCCCACCTCAAGCCTAACTGTTGAGGGGCAGAGCAGTTACTAGAGGCAGCATCTGACTAAAGCTTTGGTGGATGCAGGCAGCTGGTGGGCTGCAGGGAGGAAGCTGGAAGAATCAACACATAGACCCCATTTTCTCTGTCCGTATCTCATGGTATTGGTGTCTCCAGCGCCAGGAGCCTGACGGTACTGTCCACATGGGTCAGTCCGTATAGCTACAGTGCAGGGTGGATTTGCTCTGTGGCAGATATTGGATCTGTTGGAACCACAGATTATCAGTCTTAGGCCCTGGTCTTGTGCCTGCCCTTCAGGGGAAACTCAGTACCTCTCCTGAATTCCATTAGGGCAAAGTTGAGTGATATGCATGCCAAGTCATTTGTTCTTTTTCTATACCGTGTGCCAGCATTTGCCAGGTACTAGGTGAACAGACAGATGTAGGGGCCCCTCCCTGGAGCTCATTTCCTGTACTACCCGACAAAAGCCAGGAAGAGGAGGTCAGAAGTCACACAGGGCTATGTGACTCCACTAGTAGAGTGTATATAGGGCATGCACCAGGCCCTCCATCGGATGCCCAGCACTAAATACATCAAATATACTTGTGCAGACCTGTATTCCCTGCACTTGAGAATCAGAGGCAGGAGGATCAGAAGTTCAAGATTATCTAAGATCATCCTTGGCTATATAGTGAGTTCAAGGCCACCCTGAGCTACCTGAGACCTTGTCTTCTCCCCCATGCCAAAAATAAAATAATAAAGTCTGAACACAAAGTGAGGTGTGGAGATACATGCCTATAATCCCACTACTCAAGAAGCTAAAGCAGTAGGATCTTTGTGGGTTCAAGGCTAGCCCACAAAATCAAAATAAATAAATAAGCAAATAAGTCTGAACAGAGAGCTAAGGAGACTGGCCTCTGGATGGGGAAGTGTGGCCTGGCCACCCTGGCTGGACTAAGACACAGACTCTCTTTGGGTTCATGTAGTGGTGATGGTGAGGGACTTGGATCTAGATACCCCACCTTTCTGATGTGGACCCCCAGTGGTATGGCACTGGTCAGGCAGTGTGGAGAGTATGAAGCCGTGCCACATTATCCTGGCGGTGAGGCTGAAATGGCAGCTGACAAGCAGAAGAAGTGAGCTGCCGGCATGGAGTTCTGTGCCCGGCCCCTCTTGACTGGTCTGCAGAGTGACTGAGGCTGTCTGCCAGGGGAGAGAGTTGGTTGTCACAGAGCCGTCTGAAAAAGCTGAAAAAGAAGCTGATTTGAGGTTGGTTTGAATAAGGAGAAGTTAGGAAATGTGAGATTTGTGCAAACAGAAACGGGGACAGGAAACACGTCAGACACAGGGAGGAAGTAGTGAATGTCATGATTACCTGTGGGAGCAACTGTGGTGGGGGGCTGAGGTGGCTCTTCTGCAAGTTTGTCCCTTAAAAAAGTGGATCTTCTGTGTTCAGAGGTGTAGCCCAGTGGACAGTTCTTGCCTAGCATGCAGAAGGCCCTGGGTTCCGTTTCCAGCACCACAGAGAGGAAGAAAAGATCTCTTAGGTGACATAATTGGCTTAGCTCAGAACCTGGAGTCTTCACTCAGTTCTTGAGATCTTATTTAGGTCTAAAGTTCTATGAAAATATCTTCAGACAATAGTATTTCCAGTGTTCTTGAAGGCCCCCACCATCAGAAGGGACCATATATAACAGGCTAAAATTCTAATAATAAAGAACAATGATGGGGGTGGGGGATGCAGCTCAGTTGTAGAACACTTGCTTAGCATGCTTGAGGCTCTGGGTTAGACTCCTCAGCACCACACAAAACAAGAAACAAATGCTGGGCATAGTAGCTCATACCTGTAATCACTAGCACTTGGGAGGCAGAGGGTGGAGAACTACTGAAAAGTTTAAGGTCAGAGTGGGCAATGTAGTGAGTTTC